GGCACATGCCTGGGTTGTGGGCTCGATCCCCAGTAGGGGGCGTGCAGGAGGCAGCCGATCAATGACTCTCATTGTTGATGTTTCTCTCTCTCTCCCCCCGTCCCTCCCCCTTCCTCTCTCTGAAATCAATAAAATACATTTAAAAAAAAAAAAAATCACAAGAGCTAATTAGGTTCACGCAATAAGAAATAAAAACTTGGACTCTGGTTGTAGAACAAGCCACACTAAATAAAAGGCCACCACAAAAATATAATGNGATCAATAAAATACATTTAAAAAAAAAAAATCACAAGAGCTAATTAGGTTCACGCAATAAGAAATAAAAACTTGGACTCTGGTTGTAGAACAAGCCACACTAAATAAAAGGCCACCACAAAAATATAATGTAACTTCGACAATTTCTGAGATAAATAAAAGGTTCACATGAACTTGAACTGTATTTGAACCAGGAGGTAAAGATGTGAATTCACCCAGAAAAGTGTTCATAAGTAGTACTAAAATATTCTGCTCAGTGTAATTGTCTCCACAAATGTCTATACATGTTAATTTGATTTAACATGGCTTGGCTTTTGAATGGGAGCATTTACATAGATCTAGAAATGTTAGAAAATGGGGATGCTTACAAATCTAGAGAAAGTAATAATGTTAATAAGGTCCTGAGTTAGTGCATGAATCTCACATTGTTTTCAGTCAAAATGGAATGGATGCAAATAGTTATACTGGGCTCAGCCAATCATCGTGAAGTTGTAAGAACTTGAACCTGGAGAGGAAAGGCGACTTGTCCAAGGATGGACAGCCAGCTAATGTAAAGCTGGTGTGAATAATTCACATTCTCTGACTCTCACTGTATCAGTTTACTTAGTATTAAATTTTACTTTAGCTTAATTCTGAATTTCACTATGTTGAGTCAAATGTACTAACACAAGAGAAACAAACTACTTGGTCTCAATTTTCTTTATCTCTAAAAAAAAAAAAAAAAATGCCCGAGATCCCTTGTTGTTCTGACATTCTTTAATTTTGAAAACGCTATTCCTTAGTTGAAATCTCAAAGCTGATATGGATCGACTAGAAAATTATGGACTGAAATTGCTAAATGATGTTTCCCAAACTTATTGGTTTTCAAATAGAAATGATAGAATCATCATAGAAATATGATTAAGGAAATATAAATGGACTTTTTACATCAGTTGTATATGATTGAACCATAATAAAATGCTAACTAAAGTAAACTGAAGATGTAATTTAAAACTTACAGTTCACTTTATTTGCCAATTATTTTAAGTGTTAAAATTATGTAATTACCTATTGAGTATTAAAACAACAAATACACATTGCAAGATATTTAAGTAGTACATAGTATATAAAACTAATTTTCTTTCCACTGCAGACTCCCGGTTTTCCTTCCCAAGTGTGTGACAGACTATTTCTGTAAGGATAAAGAAACTAGTAACTATGTGTATGTACATAAGCATTTCACCTTTATAAACCTTTTTTTTTTAAATATATCTTTATTGATTTCAGAGAGAGGAAAGAAGATGGGGAGAGAGAGAGAGAGAGAGAGAGAGAGAGAGAGAGAGAGAGATGGAAACATCAATGATGAGAGTGTCATTGATCGGCCGCCTCCTGCACGCCCCCGACTGGGGATGGAGCCCACAACCCAGGCATGTGCCCTGACCGGGAATCGAACCCCGATCTCCTGGATCCCAGGTCGACGCTCAACCGCTGAGCCACGCCCGGCCGGGCTATACACCTTTTTATACTCAAATGGTAACATACACAACTTTTACTTTTAACCTTCATTGAAATTTAATAGTCCAAATGTACCTTAAAGACCATTCCACCTAAGCATATNCCTTCTTATACTCAAATGGTAACATACACAACTTTTACTTTTAACCTTCATTGAAATTTAATAGTCCAAATGTACCTTAAAGACCATTCCACCTAAGCATATATAAGTATTGGTTATTATTTTACATGAATGCACAATTTCTTTTATGCATGTACAGTAATTTAACTAGCTGCCTATGAAAAGGCATTTAGATGTCCTCCATTTATTTCTATTACAGATAATGCTGCAATACATATTCTTAAACATCCTTGTTGCACAGATTTATGTGTAGCTCAGAGATAGTATCGCAAGATCAAAGAGAATATGCATTTTTGAGAAACAGTGCCAAAATCACCAGACACTGTACCCTAACTCTCCTTCCAACCTTACAGTTACATAAAAGGTGTCCATTTTACGTCATTCTCACAAATGTCACTTATCATTTTTCTACCTTTTATAAATTTTAGAGTAAAAAAATATTTTCTTTCATCTGTATTTATGAGCCAAACTAAGTATTTCCTATTTGCAAACTCTTCTAGATGTGGATTTTATTTTGCTGTGAGAAATGAAGTAGCTTTTAAATTTTTGAATTTTTAAAAATTTGGACTAGGTTTTTTTCCTACATCAGACATAAGGAAACAATAAATTTGACTCCAACAATAACTATGCCACAGAGAAAAGACTAATAAATTTGAGAAACTCCAGCAACCTATTAAGAAAACGGGCAAAGCACATGAAGGTAAAATTCACAGGGAACAGTATTGGATAAATGAATGAGTGCATATCCAACCATGTCGGTTAACTTACTTCAAAGGCACGTACGTGTTCTATTAAAAACAGATTTACTGGCCTCACATCTGATCTGAATTGGAATCTCTAGGTATGAGTTTCCAGCATTAGTATTTTAAAGGGCTCCTCATTTTATTTTGCTTTGCACCTGGATGTCAGGGTACATAACTGTGTGCATGTTCAAAAGTGGTCCTTATGATCTGTGCCTCCCAGATTGTTCTCAGAACATGACTTCTAGGTCTGTTACTCAGAGCATGTCCTCTAACCAATTACCTAACCCCTCAGCGCCTCAATTTCCTTTTTTGTCAAAAGGGATTAGAACTCACACTTAACCCATTTTACAGGACTGTAGAAAGGATCAAAGGAGAGAACAGATTGGAAAATGCTTTGATGAATTTTTAAAATATGATACAAATTAATCCTATTATTATCTCCGGTACAAATTCTGAAGAATAGAACCTTTCACTGTGAGAACAGGCATGAAATCCTCTTAGAGCTTCATTAAATATAAATGTGAAAGCATTTCTCAAATATGCTTAATCAGAAATTAAATTTTTTTGTTCAAATAGGAGAATCTTTTTACCAATACGACATAGTCATCTCAGTGAATGAAGGGACACCTCCTCTTAGCTGACCTTATCCATACCAACTCTTTTCATAGCATATATGAGTAAGTCTGTTACTTAAAGATGCACTTTAGGTTGATAGGGCCAGAAAGTTGAGCAGAAACTCTGCAGCTATGTATCAACTTAATAATATATGATACTGAATCGTTTAAAAAAAAAACAAAAATTGATGTACAACATGTTGCTTCCATTTTTGTTCACCCATGAATTAAAGATCCCTGTACTTCATGTTCTGTGTATCCTGAATGTTAATATCTCCTTCATTTGTTTCCTGCTACAAATGGAACTTGTTGGTTAATTATTCAGGAACATTACAAGATACCATTTTCTGTCCATAAATAGCTAAATATCTATGAAACTGGCCCATTATGTAAAATGCTACAAACATAAGCATTTCTAATATTCTGTAAGCTTTTTTGAGTACAGTGATGCAGCTTGATCAGTTTATTGCTTCTTTGTATTAAAATAGTGAGAGCGCCTGGCCGGAGTGGCTCAGGGGTCGATCATCGACTTATAATCCAGGAGGTGGAGGTTCGATTCCCGGTCAGGGCACATGCCCGGGTTTCGGGCTCCATCCCCAGTAGGGGGCGTGCAGGAGGCAGCCGATCAATGACTATCATTGATGTTTCTATCTCCCTCTCTCCCTCTCCCTTCTCTCTGAAATCAGTAAGGACATATTCTAAAACAGTGGGAGAATTCTCAATTC